CAAAACTGAAGTTGCCCATTGGTCCAGTCCCAAAAACTTACTTCTCAAGTCAAAACTTATTCATTTAAAACTCCTCGAGCTAGACTTGACGACCTCATTAAATTCTATTGACTAGTGGAATTGTTCATATTTTACGACATTAGCGCGTGTGTGATAATAACTGCGGCAGCAAAAACCCAACATCATGGCTATTAAATCAATAGGTAAACGAATTTGCCTAATTGTTGTGATAAACTTATTTTATATTTTCCAGTTGAAATGCGGAGACGGAAAAAATCACAACAACGATGTGGACTGGCCGATCAGGAACAATATGGGTGCATTTATTATTATGATTATTATTATATTGGATTTAGTGATAAATCACATTTCGTTTCAAGCCAGATGAAGCTTCCTTTAGACTGCACTGATTTCAATGCAGAAGAAGTCGTTGAAGCTGAATTCAAACGCGATTCGGTTAAGAGCTATGCCGAGGTAAGTAGACGTGACCCACCTGTAACAAGTCCATCAGAACTCTGGCGAACGGCAATCTGAGGGTAGTTGGTGCAATTAAGAACCGAAACAAATGAAATTGTGATCCACAACCAAAAGCAATGCCAACAGACAACACTCACGTTCATTCAAGGTTGCGGAGGAAAAGTAATGAAGTTCATTCCGAAAGCTGTGCGAATCAGTTTTGATGTCTCTCAATAGGACATTAACAGACATTCTAACAGACCGGATTATCAAAGAAAATTGGTCCAAGCCGTATTTTTGCTTGAAAGCCCCGAACAGATCCTAAGACTCTTGACAAAACAACAAGTAGATACGGCTATCTTAGAGGCCGACAGCCAGCTTTGAAGAAACACTCACCAGCTTTGAAGAAACACTCAGTGCTTCGTACTCTGAAGTACAACAACAACCATGCCAGAGCACATCTAGCACTTTGAAGAACCGACTGATAGCTAACAAACTCAACGCATGCGATGTGCAAGGCGCGGTTCGTATTGCCTCTTCTGATGATAACTTAGCTTCTTCGTCTCTAGAGTCTTTCACTGCTTCAAAGACGAAACATCCTGAACAGACATTGGACCGAAAAAAAAGATCCCCTCATCTACGACTTTCAGCCGCTCCAAGTGGGTTCCAAACTCGTCACTGATTGCGTCCATGGCTTTGCTAGTTTGGCAGGACGTCTGAGTGGTTCACGCATGCAGCATCTCAAGGATTAAATGTCAAAGAATGCGAGTGCAGCTGGAAACCTGTTATTGAAGCTGGAAACCTGTTCTATATTGTTATGTTGAGGTAAGGAGAGTTTTAGGTTGATCCATCTGAAATGGATCAAAGGTCCACTGTCTAATAAAAAGTAACTATACGGATTGTTCCGACCCTGTTTTAACGGTGTTCGCGTGTTTTAGGTATTTTGAGACTTAAGTATGGGGACGTTCTTATTCTCTAGAGTTGGGGGTATTTTGGCAGTGGCCATCAAGCTGTAACAAAAATTTTAGTCTCATGTCGCAATTGAACCGAATTGGCTCCGACCGTTTGAAGTAGAAAATCACAAGAGATATTGTCCCTGACTCTTGAGCCAATGGTTATAGGGCCTATTTTTCTTTCACCTCATATGTGACTTAAGTAGGCGACTGTTACAACGAGCAGAATTCAAGTCTTCCTCTCTCTGGAAGTGATAATGATAAAAGAAGATGCAAGTGTTGATGTCCTTTTCAATTAAAAACGAGACGGGTTACGTTTCTACAAAAAGAACCCGCAACTCGAAACGAAAAAATATAATACACAAGTGTTACAAAAAAAAAATTCGTCGAAAGTTTTTTTGTCATTAATTGTTCCGAGTACGCAAGCGGCATTCGCAATCTGTATTGCCAGGGAGATTCTCTGTTTTAAAAAGCTGCCTGGTCTTGGTTCCTCAGTGCATATGCATAGATTCTTACAAAGCTTGCTCAAAAAAAATCTGTGCTGGGGCCGGCTGCGCCCTGAATTTCAAAGCTAGCGGTTGAAAAAGATATCCATCATCTGCAAGATCTTTATACTTGTCATTTTTTCATTCTTCCGTTTCAGCGGCAGCCGTACCAGGGTTACAAACAGACCCGGCATTAATCCTACAAGGAGCTAAGGAGTCTGGAACGAGCGTCAAACCGTGGAACGAGCGTCAAACCGTCTGGTCGCTTCTGATCGGTCCTGTAGTGGTGTAGCTAAAACATACAAAACGTGAGTAGAATATAAACTCTGCTTTATAAGGGCATTCAGATTTGAAAACCAAGAGAATCTCCCTGCACTTTTGAAGCAAGAAAGACCATGCCAACCATCCTCGGTAACGTCTTTTCCGCACACGCATTTATGCCGTTCGCATATTTTTGAGACTATTCGAAGTCCTATCGCAATTCTGAATTGTTGGTTTGACAGTTTTAACCATAAATTGTTAGGATGACGTTCAACCCTTGGGGAGCCAAATCTATCTTGGAACGCGTTGAACCTTTTTACGTCCGTTGGTTCGAGTCGTAAAATCAAGTGTGCAATTTCGCTTTCAAAAATTGGCTCTGTCCAATTTTTTTGGATTTTATTTTGCGGAGCTATTTCAATTTTTCCAAGCTCAAACCACCGTTTAAGCGCATCATCATAGGTTCCATCCACATGCTCCAAACCAAAGATTTCGCATTTTTTGCTCCTACTGCTGAGGCTAAGAAAGCGGGTAAAACGAGTAGACGAGCGGAAGAAACACCCAAACCACCTTTGGCTGCCAGCAGAACTTCTTGTAAAAACTGGTTATCATCCATTTTCACATAAGTGACCTTGCATAACGAATCTCTTAGTAATTTGTGGTAGCGTTCCAAAAAATCATTTGGCAAAAAACAGGGGCTCGTACGCAAAAAACAATAGGAGATTTGTGCATGCTAAAGCAATTTTTTAGGAGGTAAAAACCATAATGGACGTCTAGTTTGTCAATGACATCCGAGATTTTTTCAAGCTCATTAATTTTTTCGTCGAGCAATTCTTTTCGGCAAAGTTCGCCGATTCCAAAAATGTTTTTTTTTTATTTTTGGGCATACTTTTCGGAAATGTGTTAAAGTTGAGTTATACTGTGTACTCGTAGTCGGTCCCAAAAAACAAAGTTCGCACTTCTCAGTATTCAAGCTCAGGCCGTAAGTTTGTTCCAATTTCAGAATATTTTTAAGGTCCCGGAGTTTTACCATCTAGTCGTCGGCTGAATTTTCCATCATCTAAATACCAGATGTTAATTTTCGACTCCAACTGCTTGACTAGTGTCTGAATTGTTTCCGCAAAAAGGGGTGGGGCTTCAGGATCACCTTGCTGAGTTCCGTCTTCTGACATTATGACAGAGCTTCCGTAAAAAAGATAACTAGGTTTACTATACGCGCAATGGGTGTAAATATACAATTCGGGGCGATTTGAATAAACATGATCAGCATTGTTTCTCTATTTAGAGAGTTAAACGCACTCTTAAGATCTAGTTTTAAAAGAACAAAGCATTTTGGATTGTCGTCGCGTTCAATTAGGTTTCGAAACGAGTGTGCAGCTATTTCTGCTCCTCGTTTGGTACCGCATTCTACCTGTACGTTTCCGAAAAAACTTTGTCGCTCGGAGAGGGCCTTGCTTCCAGCGCATTTAGACGCTACACGTCTCGGCGTGTTGTCTATGGCGATCGATCTCAACCCTCCGTCTATCTTTATGAGGGCGATAAGCTTTGCGCCAAAAAAGAAAGGTCTTAGGGGTTCGGGTATTTGCCATCTCTAATGAGGTTTATTAGCTTAGTAAGCGATTTCAGAAAATTAAGTCCTGCACTGCCATTCGACTTACTAACAAGATGTTTAAAAATTTGAGAAAATTTTTTATCAGGACCTGCTGCTGATCTGTTCGGAAAGGACTTTATCGATTTTATAGGTCGAAATCGGTTACGGAAAAACTATCTAAATTTTCTGGATTTGGAGCTGCAAATTTGGCTCGCTGAGGGAGCTTAGACAACAATTTTTGATAGTTATCAGTTGAAAAAGGAGCAATTTTGTCATCCTAAGCTGCAAGCTTTTTTCCTCCTTTCACATTTCCTTCATCGAGCTTACTCCTTATCAGCTTTATTATCTGCCCGAGGTCACTCTGAGGCGGGCTTGAAACTTGGGGACGGGGTTTTGGAAGTGACACGTCATTTGCTCGATTTTTTTTAGTTATCAAAGAGCTCATGCTTGTGGTCTGTTTGCGACCACTTCTTTTCGGTTGCTCCAAAAAAAGAACGACGTTAAAAATATTAGCCATTTTGTAACACCTTCTACATTGTAGACGAAGTCATTTGTTTTGTCCGACAGACTTTCCGCCAAGGGAACACGCAAGTCTTTTAGAATTCTCTTGAGTATTCGGACTGGGTGATAACTGGTCCGCATTTTTGATGAACTGTTGATTAAATAGGAAGCCGTCAAAATAGGTTTAATCCTGAAACAATTCAAGTGTGAACTGAGAGTTTTTGGTTCGAACGCAGTTGCAAATGCGCAAGATTTCAAGCAACGCTTTCTGACTATTGTGATCGTTGTAGCTGTAGCCGCCACTTTACTTGGTGCTGCTCTTGTTAACATAACCGTGCCTTCCTTTTTCTTTGATCTCAACGCAGCAGTTTTCTGTTGTCTTGCACCCCCAGTGTGCTATTCGTTTTTTTGCGTCATCCGCCAATATCTGACTGAACCAAGCTCATGGTGCATCCGTTCCCACTGACAGTTCCGCCAACAAGAGCAGCGTGACATTTCCTATTTACAAGAAGCTATCATCCCTGCTAGCTTTTTTGATAGCCACGGCAGTGATTGTCTTTTTGGTTGTACTTTGACAGTTTCAAGAGACTGGGTTAAAGTTCTACCATCGCCAACTTTGCCTCTAGATTTGAAAAATGGTACCCCCTTATTACTACCATTTGCAGGTGTACTTGCGTCTTTTTCTGTTACACCAACGGCGCTCAGGCACTCATCTGTCCGAAAATCGAAGCAGGTTTCAAGTGACAGCAGGTTTAGCCTAATTGTTGTGATAAACTTATTAAATAGTTTGAGACGTGAGATGAGTATCTAACAATGGCAATATCAATACGGAAACAACAATCTGTCAACCTGCCGGGCGATGAAGAATTTCAAGACTCCAAAGAAGGTTATGTCGAACTGGAAGTACAGTGCACGTCTGAAAACTGCCCCGTATGGACAACTATTCTTATCCTGAAGAAGCTAGGACGTAAGCAAAAGCTACTGAAAGAACCGTTCTGTTGTGGATTTTGTACTGCGAGAATTACAACTCAATTGATGGATCAACGCAAAAATTAAAACAAACCAATAACAGCAGTTGAAAGCCGTATGCAGAGATAGTCAAAAAAATACATTCTGAAAACACACAACAACAGTATCGAGCGAAAAACGTCGTAGTTTTTGGAACAACACCAGATACCGACGAAAACGATGTTCTATTTGCGAAGAAACTACCAGAGGACTTGAAAATTCCGAAAGTAGAAAATATACGAACAAAGAGAATTGGGAAGAAAAACGACAAAGGAGCTCAATAATTGAAGATCGAACTGGTTTTGGCTGAAGTCAAACAACCGGTCTTGAAAAACGCAAAAAAACTACAACAAATTGAGATCTATGAAAATGTTGATTTGAAACCGGACTTGACAAAACTACAACAAGAAGAGGAATACAAACTACGAAAAACACTTCGAGAAAGCAGACGTGACAACCCAGGCAGAGAGTTTATCATACGCTCTTGTAGAATTATTGAAAAAGACAATTCCAGACAGAATTGACTAATTGTGCAGTCAATATTGCTACTTCGAAACATTGAAGGAGCAAAAAAAAAACAACATCCATTTTCTAGACAGTTATATGTACAATACCGATTTTATTTTGCCCACCAAAACCTTTGTGACAGCAGATATTCACCTGGACTCCCATTTTACTTATTGCCTGAAAGCGAAGAAATTGACATGAGGCAGACCGACTGGTAGACTGCTGATTGGAATCAACAAAAATGTCAATGAAAAACATCTACCTCTAAGAGAAACTGCTAATGTGCTTAGCAATTGAACTCTCTGTCTGCGTTCTTGACGCAGTTTACTTCAAGCCTGACACAGATGTTACAGATATTTTCACGGAACTGCTACCTGTAATCACAGCTTGAAAAAATCGCAAGATTATTCTGCGTGGTGATTTCAACTGTAGACTAGACAATAACTCTCAAAGAGGACAAGATTTACTTCATAATTTATCTCACTTCGATTACGGGTACCGAATTCTCACTACGCGCCAACTTACAAATGCCACAATGGTCAAAACCCCATCAATCCTAACTTCGTTAACTTCAATTTCAATCAGAGTACTTTGAAAATCATCGAAAAGTTACCCTCGAAACATTCAGTAGTTCGACTTGAGACTAGATTTGATGACGTTAAAATTCTTGACAAATAATCAGACAGAATCTGCAAAACAGACATTGTTTTACTCACAACTTACGTGCAAGATGACATATGTTCCAAAGAACCCGACGATTTTAGTATTGACGATCTCTCAACCGTGTTCATATCAGCCTGCAACTATTCTGCTATTGAAGAGAGAAAAAATATATCGAAACCTTGGTTCGACAAAGATTGCTATCAACAAAATGGCAAACTGAAGTCTGCTCTCAGAACCGGCTGCAATCAAATTATTTCGACTGATAAACAGCTGTTCAAAAAGATATGTAGAAACAAACGTCGTCTCTACGATCTTCACAGAGAAAATTCAATTATTGAGACTGCTGAGACCGACAGATCACAATTTAGGAATATTTTGCAGTCGAAACGCACAAAAGTTGTCACGCCAAACGTACAGGACGACGCTTGGAAAACCCTTTTTCAAAATTTTTTGTACGTGAAAAACTCAAAAACTGGCATAGTGATCGACTTAACGCAACAAACTTCGATTGATGATAAACTTGACGCTGAAATAACCGAAGAAGAACTGACTCACGTTGCTGATAAAATCAAACCAAACAAAGCTCCAGGGTCAGATGGTATCTCTATCAACCGCGTCAAATCCAACCTCTTTGTCCTTTTGCCACTAGTGCTTCAACAGTTTAGTAGTAATTTTTCTCAAGTAGTTATCCCGAAATTTTGGATAATTTCATTATTAAAACCTCTCTACAAAAACAAAGGGGACGAGAAAAATCCAGACAATTACAGAGAACTTGCACTCGGCAACAGTATTTTTAAACTTTTCACATCAGTTTTACAAGGCAGATTGTTGAGTTGAGTGTTGAAAACAAGAAGATACACCAAAACCACAAAATGGAGGTGGCAGCAAGGTTCAAGACAGATAAGCAAGTTCATCTTTGCTATCTTGATTTCAGCAAGGCGTTTGACCTAGTAGTCAGGAACCAATTACTAGAAAAACTGAAACACAACGGCTTAAGCACAAATTTTCACGACGTTTTGAGCATTAATCTTAACTTTATACTTAATCTTTACATCCGTCAATTCGTTTGAATACTTAGGTGTGACAATATCAGCATTCATGAAAGACAACGTGCATATCTCAAAACTACACAGAAAGGGTATTAATTCTGTCAATATTCTTGCCGCAAAGGTAAATTTTCAGAAAAAATTGTTTTTGTCGGCGTGGTGACTGCTGAATGCTGTTGTTTTACCTTTATGTTCATATAGATTGAGGACAACATCCAGTTCAACTGATTTTTTTGTGAAAGTTATTGCCTATTTTTGGAAAAAGTGGGCTGGGATCTCAAAATTCACTTCAAACTCCAAACTCATCCATCATCTGTACGAAGACGACTTTATGGAAATACAGAAATCAAAACAGCCAAGAAGAAGATATATTGCTCTGTTTATCAGAAATTGCCTCGATCACAAAATTTGTACAAGCGGAAACTGCTACGGAAACTCTACGGAGACATTTTGCATTTGTAAATTCTGTGGAAAACAAATAGAATCTCCTCAGCACCTCTACTGGACCTGTCCTTTTATCGCAGACAATTTATCAAAAACAATGACTGAAATAATGCATTTAAGAGCTACTGGTGATATTTGAACACTTACATAAATGCGCTATATCAATTTTTTATACCTACAATCTATCGCATTTGAATCATTATTTTGTATTTTTGCACGTGCTCTTAACGTGCTCATGTATCTGTTCACTGATACGTTTAATTCAATCCATAAGTGAAACAAAAACTGCAATGATCTCAACAAGCAGTTGCTACTGACGGCCTGCCTACCATCAAGCTTGAAACCGTTGAGACTTTCGAGAAAAGATAGAAAACGTCCCGATGGTGTCATGCTGTCAGCTTGGAAGCCATAAAAAGTAGTTGAATAAGGTTTTACATGAGAACCGATTAGCGAAGTCACACCAGAGAATAGCAACCAGAACACTGCTGTAGAATTCCTGGCGGGTGGCCTTGGGAAGAAAGCTTGAAGTTCGTTAAAAATTTATCGAGAGCAACAGCTGATAATTGCATAGTTCAATATTCTTCTCGAAAGCTGACAGTTTTTGAAGATTTGTTACTAATTATTTTTTGAAATTTACACTTAAAATTGAAATAAACAGTTTGACATGTACATATTTAAAAAAAATGTCACGCAGAAAAAAAGAAAGGGCCCATCATCCAGACAAAATAGTTTCAAACTAAATTATTAAATAGTTTCCGATGACTATTTCAGAAGTCATCACTGGAGCGAAGAGAAGATCAACGTTTTGCAAATCAATCTACAACCATCTCAGGGCTTCCATTGAACCCATATTCGAAGAATCCTTGAAGATAGTACAGAACCTGGTAAAGAGACGAGGTGTGCTCCAACGACGAACAATCTTATTCATCTGGCATGGCACAATAAACAACTCGTTTACAAACCACGAAGTAACTTCAACACCGAGACAAGAAAGTTCCACCCACTCACTCCCTCCCAGCTAGTCGAAGAACTCCCTCAGAACCCTAAAAATAAACAACTAGATAAAAGTCATCGTCTACACCCGCAGAGAAGGTTCTTTGGCTATCTCCGAAGAGCTAAAATCCTGTGTAATTCTGGTCATTGACGTCATTAAAGATCTGATATCTTCCAGAAAACGCAAAAATATCTACTTAAAACACGAAATAGCAAAAAATCACCCGGATATTGCTATTGAAAAACGAGTTGTCAATTCAATAATACGAAACAGAGCAGACCTTACTGGATTGAAGAAAAGCAAAAAGAAGAGACTGAGTTACAAGAAAAATAAGGATACAAGAATCAAAAGTGATCAGACCGACAACGACAAAAGCAGGCAGTAATTAAATAAAAGACAAAAAGAGAGACTCAGGAAGCGTAAGGTTCTTGGACTCCCAAGATAAGTAAGTGTCCCATCAGTAAACATTCTATCCCAGTCGAATAATTTATGTTCTAACCAGCCCAGTGCATCCATAGGAATTGAGTTTCTTAGGAAGCGCGGGAAAGCCAGCCAGACCACACGCTAAGGATTCTAACCACAAACGGAGTTATATACCTAGTGTATCTAAAGGAACTCAGTTTCCTAAGTAGCGCGGGTAATTTCAACTTCAACTTCTTTCTCACGAAAATTTTGGCTTCAACAATCCCAATGCATCTATAGGAAATAGGTTTCATAGGAAGCGCGGGAGAGTTAAATCAATAGCTAAAAGTAAACTTCGACACTCTTAGTACATCAGAGGTATTAGGTTTCCTAGGAAGTGCAGGAGCACCGAGGTATGTTGCCCTTTCCATAATAACGCCCACCAAGCGGAATTACTGCTGTAAAACATGCACAAAGCCCATAACATTCTATGCGAGGTCAGCCAAAACCTTCTACTGATATGTAACAATTGTGTTTGCCTCATCCAAAGGGATCGTATTTTGCCTCCACTAGAGAAAACCTCCGCATAAAGCCAATAGTGGAAAGCGTTGAAGAAGTCAAAAATCAGCTTCACCCCATGACAACTAACATCGGAATTTTTGATGGCATAAGGGACCAGATAACTTCCCTGACAACCGAGATGGCGTCTCGAACAGCCAGCA